CCTTAACTCAAGTACAAGGCAAGGCAAGGCAAGGCAAGGCAAGGCAAGGCAAGGCAAGGCAAGGCAAGTTTATTTATATAGCACCTTTCAACACAAGGCAATTCAAAGTGCTTTACTAAAATGGAAGACATTAAGAAAATGGCATTTAAAATCAGTCATTAAAAATAAAAGATAATAAAATAAGATACAAGATCTGAGTACTTCTACTTTTACTCAAGTACCAGATCTGAGTACTTCTACCACCTCTGGTCACATCTAAACAAAATAAATTGCAATAAAATAAAAAATCTAACTGATGAAACACAAGAAAACTATATAAATATAATTAACTAAAAAGAGGAAATAAAAAAACGGAAAAAAAAAGCTTGATCTTACTTTATATATTTAAACATAAATGCCAAACATTTAAGCTCTACTCACAGAAGTAATGACTGCACATCCTCGTCTCCTTATAAGGCCTCTCAGCAGCAGCTGTGTGTATGAAGCTCTGCACTCTGTAAAAGGAGAACTACACACACTCTGCAGGCTGGAAAAAACCTCGGCAATAAAACCTAAAAATGTGTCTAGCATTTTAACAGTTGTGGCTTATTTGTAGGAGATATACCTGCAGGACTTTAGGTGTTGTGAATGTAGTTGCCTGGATACAAGTTTGAGCGACAGATATTCTAAAAGGACAATACTGCCTTTAAAATAAAATGTCCTATCCACAAACCAATTATTGTGCATGTTGGTGTAACGACAGACACACATTTTGATTTTAATTTAACCTCAACACTTTAAAATATTGATGAAAAGTTACATTTATAGCTGGAAAAACTAGAATCAGAGTGAGAAAATATATATTGGTGGACAAACAAGTGAACCACGTTTAATCGATGCTCGTTTGTAGGAAGGGTGAGTGCATTGTTATTAAAAAGGTCGATTAAGGGTTGCCAGATTTGGTCGATTTTAAATTGAATCCCTCTCAATGAGTATATATTTTTTTCCAGATGCTGCATGCCATCTGCCATCTGTGGATTTAGTAATAACAGTCTCTATTTTAAAGAGTTTACAAATGTTATCTCGTCAAAGACATGCGTAAGTGGATGAGAATCAGCAGGTTTTGATAACGAACACATCAGTTGATGATCTCCGAGCTGCTGCTGATCTTCCAGACTCTGTGCATGCTGCTTCAATCTCTCTTTTATTTTCTCTGTGCTGCTGATTTCTATGATCTCTGCTGACCACCATCTCACACCCAACGGGGTAATGGACTACCTGTTGTCATGGAAACTCATGCATCACCCAGTGCAGTGATGGAGACTGGGAGGCCAATGTTGAGCAAGTGTTGTGTCAGGATGGGGATTGTTGCTTTCTGGGGCTTTAAAAAGCAACCCTTAAACAGAACTTACTTTAAGTATACAGTTACTCTATGAGGCTTTTATTTTGAAAACAAGTCTAATCCTTAGCTTCCTCTAATGACACAGTTACTCTCTGGGGCTTTTATTTTGAAAACTAGTCTAATCCTTAGCTTCCTCTAATGACACAGTTACTCTCTGGGGCTTTTATTTTGAAAACAAATCTAATCCTTAGCTTCCTCTAACGGCACAGTTACTCTCTGGGGCTTTTATTTTGAAAAACAAAGTCGAATCCTAAGCTTCCTCTCGTCTATGGGGTTTTATTTTTTAAAACATTACTCTTCCTGGGCTTCCTTGAGGTACAGCACTATTTTCTTAAAATATATATAGTTACTTTATAGGGCTTTTATTTAAAGAACAAGCCTTGCCCGGAGCTCCCATTAAGTATACAATAGCCGCTTTCACACCAAGTACTTTGCCGTACTTAGTGCCGGAACTTAGTGCCCCGGCACTTAGTACCATAAGGGGTACTAACGGAACTAAACGGGAAAAGTACGGGGAAAAGTACTCCGGTGTGAACGCGGCTAATCACTCTCTTAGGCTTAGATTTAGAAATACATGCCTCTTTTGAGCTTAAATTGGGCTTTTATTTTGAAAAACAGGCCAAACCTGATCTTCCTGCAACTATACAGTTACTTTCTGTTTTTTTATTTTGAAATCAAGCCTCTCCATAACCTTCATTAATACTCTTCAGGCGGAGACAGCGGCGAACAGGATCTGTAAAGTGCTGGCGGTGAACCAGGAGAACGAGCAGCTGATGGAGGACTATGAGAAGCTGGCCTCTGATGTGAGCACCCCCCCTCCCCAACACACACACACACACCACACACACACACACACACACACACACACACACACACACACACACACACACACACACACACACACCTCCCTTATGTCCCCATAAGGAAGGTGAGTCCCCATACGTGACTGTAAACAGATTTAGGTCCCCACAAGGATAGTAATGCTAGGTCACACACACACACACACACACACACACACACACACACACACACACACACACACACACACACACACACAGTTTTGGGTTTCAGTTTATTCATTTTTTTGCAAATAATTTCTTATTCGTTGAAGTTACTTTTGGACTTCTTGTGATGCATTTAAGGGCCTGTGGAAGGTTGAGACATCTGAAACTCCAGCATTAGTCCCTGTACTTGAATGCACCAATAAGGAAGACTCACTATTTATGAAAAAATCTTTAAAAAGAAACCAGATTTAAAATGATTATCTTCATTTTTACATTTGAGCTTTACTGATAAATGACTAAATCTAAATTATATTATTGCAGATACTGTTCCTTTATGTATTGATGCATAATAACGGCTGCTAAATAACAAGAAAATACTGCAGATAATTGCAAAGAAATCTGTTCAAAGTTAATAATTTCACAACCAAATTTTAAGAAAATGTATTAAAATGTTTGCTCCTCTTATTGGTGCATGAACATTATTTATATCAGCTGAAATATCTTAATTTGATTTTTAAAAAACTGCTCAAAAGCCTAGAGAAATCCAGTATTCCTTCCAGGCTTTACTAGTTTGAAGATAGCTTTTCCTTTGTTGATTTAAACATTACAGCCAGATAAAAAGGTCAGCAGCTTTCAAATGAACACACACATGTTGCTAAACCATGCAAAAACGCATGTATGGTGCTTTTAATCGGACAGAAAACGTAATTACGGTGACATTAAGTTGCAGGAAATTAACAACAAAACTCATCCTGTGTTCTCTCCTCTCATTTCTCAATGAACTACAAATCCATTACAACCTCATCTATTTCCCTCTCATCTGCATGGTGCTTCCTTTTTCTTCCCCTCAATGTAACTTCCTCACTCCATCTCTCTCCCCCCCACACACACACACACACACACACACACACACACTCTCACAGCTGTTGGAGTGGATCCGGCGCACCATCCCCTGGCTGGAGAACCGCCTGCCGGAGAACACCATGGCGGCCATGCAGCAGAAGCTGGAGGACTTCAGGGATTACCGCCGCCTTCACAAGCCGCCCAAAGTGCAGGAGAAATGCCAGTTGGAGATCAACTTCAACACGCTGCAGACCAAGCTGAGGCTCAGCAACCGGCCCGCCTTCATGCCCTCCGAGGGGAAGATGGTGTCGGTACGTTTCACACACACACACATTATAAAGTCCTGCAGAAACGTTCGAGATAGCAGAGAACTATAACAGCTTAAAGAATCATTATTATTGGACTTGCACACGTTTAACACAACTCCAAATAAATCCAAATACATATTAATGTTGCAGGTTTAACTTTAGTAATGCACTATGACAGTCCTGACAATGCCAGTTTCTCCCTCTCTGTTTTTGGTAAGGATAAATTCTCAGGTATTGGTTTCTTTCTCCTCGTTCAGGACATCAACAATGCGTGGGGGGGTCTGGAGGGAGCGGAGAAAGGGTACGAGGAGTGGCTCCTCAACGAGATCCGCCGACTGGAGAGACTCGACCATCTGGCCGAGAAGTTCCGTCAGAAAGCAACGATCCACGAAGCCTGGACTGAAGGTAGGGAGGGAAGTGTGTATGAATGAGTGTGTGACTGGTGTGTACAAAGCTTCAGAATATGGAGAGGAATGAGAGTGGACAGCTTGGTGTGTGTGAGAGATTTCTGCTGAAAGAGGAGGAGGAATTGGAGCAAAGTCTAAAATATTGGAGGAAAAAAGTCGTAATAATCTGACAAAAAGTTGTAATATTTAGACAATTAAAGTTATAAATATTTTTTTAAATAAAATTAGAAAAATGCTGTAATATTTGGAGGAAAAAGTCATAATATTTTTTATGGAAAAAATTCAAGGGAAGTCAAGTCGAATATTTCTGAGAAAATGTCTAAAATCTGAGTTAAAGGTGGGGTAGGTAAGTTTGAGAAACCGGCTCGAGATACACTTGTTGTTATATTCCATGGAATGCTCTTAACATCCCGATAGCAATGAATATCTGAAGTGCTTTGACAAAAATCCATAAAAAATGTCATCTGTGGAAGCCGTAGTACTGTAAAAAGCACGACCAATCATCTGAGCCGGCCCGGCTAAAATGACTGGATGGCCTACCTGCCTGTCAGCCTTCCATCTGTGCACAAACTCATCTCGTGCCCTCATTGGTCATGTGCGCGTTCGTGTGTGTTGGAGGAGGGGCTCTGTAAGGAAGTGGCAGATTTTCTCCGGTTGTGTATTTTCAAATTCTAGCGATCTCGAGCCGGTTTCTCAAACTTACCTACCCTACCTTTAAGTTGATTTTCAGTTTTATTTAAACCTATATTTTGCAATCTTTCTAAAAGAATCGTAATAATGTCACATATATTACATGTTTTCTGAAGTGTTATGATTACATTTGCAAATGAGGCGTCATGTAGTGCTCGTGTTTTTTTTCACTAGTCTGAAAGAAGACATGTTATGAAAGCAAAATAACCAAAAATCTTTGAATCTATGGCCTTACAAAGTTCTCTAAACAGGGAAATGTGAATGTAGACGTAGCTGAGATGTGTGTTGTGTGTCGCCCCCTGCAGGTAAGGAGGCCATGCTGCAGAAGCACGACTACGAGACGGCCTCTCTGTCGGAGATCAAAGCTCTGCTGAAGAAACACGAGGCGTTCGAGAGCGACCTCGCCGCCCATCAGGACCGGGTGGAGCAGATCGCCGCCATCGCACAGGAGTTAAAGTGAGACACCATGACAGGAGGAAAAACATTGAGATGTTTCCTTCTACTGATCAATAACATATGAAATGCAGTAGGATAGGATGAGAGAGGCATGTTGAGTCCATTCTTTGAAGTCTGCAATAACTTTGTCGATCAAAAAAATATGAATTGCCAACTATTCTGATATTTAATTAATTAAAATAATACATTTTTTGTTCAGAAATGTCAGAAAATGCAGTTTTTCAGCCTCACTAATCTGGAGATTTGATGCTTTTGTTGGTTTTATATTATAATAAACAAATTGTATTATTTATATATATATATATATAAAATAAAAATATATTTATTTATATATATTATTTTTAAATGTATTTATTTTATTCAATAATTGTATTTATTTTTATGTTATTGTATTGTATTTATTCCATTTATTGTATTTATTCCATTTATTTTATTTATATAAAGACCTCACTTGGACTTTGGAATATTAGATTTGTAGGTAATGATGATGCTGTAATGAATGGTGTGTTTGCAGTGAGCTGGACTACTACGACTCCCCCAGTGTGAACGCTCGCTGTCAGAATATCTGCGACCAGTGGGACGCTCTGGGAGCTCTGACCCATAAACGCAGCGAGGCTCTGCAGGTGAGGAGGAGAATACTAAATCCACCAGGAACTCAAGAGTCTCTAAATCCTTAAAATCACTTTTTCAGTGTCAGAAATCCTTTATTCGTCCCACAGCGGGGAGACTTACATCGTTCAGCAAAACAGTCCCCATTGATCAACTGTCACAAAAAACAGTAAATGGGGCAGCTTTAGCCAACATTGCGAATTTCCAGCTATTGTCCCCGGCCAGATGATAATAGACACCTTTTTAAAATCACAATACATCAACAGCATTTTCATATGTAGACAAACATTCAAATAACAATGTTATTAAAGTGAAATCAGCAGCAGCATTCATATCTGTTTACCCTCCTTGGTGCAGGAATGAAGACACATTTAGAGATTACAGTCTTCCTCACAGCGAGAGGGCCGTGAACAGATTTGATTTTCAGGATTCCCACTGGCCTTAAACATCCTTTTACGATTCAAGATTTGAGGTTTTTAATCTGTGAAAATCCAGTATGAACCCTTAAATCCATGTTGATACCCTCAGCTCTCTGTAGGATCATGACTCAATAGAAGCTTTTTGAGTTTAACCCAACAAGACTTTGAAGCTCCTTTTTAAGAAAGAAGCGTGTGTGTGTGTAATCTAGTTTGTTTTTGCTCCGCAGAGAACTGAGAAGCTTCTGGAAACCATCGACCAGCTGTACCTGGAGTTCGCCAAACGAGCGGCGCCCTTCAACAACTGGATGGAGGGCGCCATGGAGGACCTGCAGGACACCTTCATCGTGCACACCATCGAGGAGATCCAGGTGAGGAGGCTTCATCATGTGACCAGTTTTAGGATTATATACAGTAAAATGTATTTATGTTTGAGTAATACTTGTATTCACTTTAAAACTGTTGGACAGAGCTAGGCCAGCTGTTTCTCCATGCTAAGCTAAGCTAACCAGTTGCTGACAAACATACGTCATCTTACACTGGAAAGCTAATAAATACCTTCCAATGTTACTTGGTCTTACAAGTACAAAACCAAGTGAAAGTCCTGAAGTTTTACACTATATATTATTATAAAACTAATCATAGTTCCCGCTGATCCTTAAAAATTCTTCAAAGGTATTTGTTTTATTGACGTTGCATTGTACAATCTCTCAATAATTGGCAACATCAGTATATATAAAACAAGAAAAGCCAAATGCCTCTTGCATGCAGGTCTGGTTGGTGGATACAGTGTGTGTAAAATGAGTCTTGAATTTCCTTATGAGTGGCATTTAAAACGTTTTATATTAACTTGAATTAACGTTTTGTTACAAATGTGTAAACCAAGCCCACAAAGGACGTGAAACACCGGAACAAGCAACAAAATGAACAGAGAATATATTGAAAGCGCCAAAATGGAGAAGCTAATTTTCCTTTGTGGTCTCTTATCAAAAAGTTTAAAAAAATGTTCAAATGTAAAAGAAAAAGTGGATTATCATCTGTGTAATTAAATAGAATAGTTATCTCACTGTCAATGGGACGTTACATCAAGAGCCGAAAACAGACTTCCTGCCTCAAAAGCAGTTGTATTTTTACAAAGAGTATATTTCCTTTGTTAGAGGAAAACAAAAACCTGTATTTTGGTTTCAATTTGAATATTTGTTTCCTCAGGGATTGAGCACGGCCCACGAGCAGTTCAAGGCCACGCTGCCCGAGGCGGACAAAGAGCGGCAGGCGATCCTCGGGATCCACAACGAGATCGCTAAGATCGTGCAGACGTACCACGTCAACATGGCCGGAACAAACCCGTACACCACCATCAACCCTCAGGAGGTCAACGCCAAGTGGGACAAGGTGAGGAAACATCACCAGCAGAAAAACACACCTTTTTTTTTCAATATTCTTTTCTTTTCTTTTCAATACAAAAAACATTAGGGACAACACCACAAAACATAATATATCCGACAAAACAAAAACAGTCAAACAGCAACAGTAGCAACCTAGTACTCATGTGTGAGCACTTATCATGTAATATTTACGCCCACAGTTATAACACTTGACCATTCTTTCTTCATGTACGGTGCAATTGGGGACCAGTCTCTAACAAACTCATCCAGAGTTCTTCGCAGCACGTGTGGCAACCGCTCCAATGGCAGGATTGACATATATTGAAGTGTAAATGGTGAATGCTTGTGTCTCCTCTCAGGTGCGGCAGCTGGTTCCTCAGAGGGACCAGGCTCTGATCGAGGAGCACGCCCGGCAGCAGAACAACGAGCGTCTGCGCAGACAGTTCGCCAACCAGGCCAACGTGATCGGACCCTGGATCCAGACCAAGATGGAGGTCAGTGCAGCGCACACACACACACACACACACACACACACACACACACACACACACACACACACACACACACACACACACACACACACACACACACACACACACACACACATTCTCAGGATGTTTAATGAGTCACCTATTATGCAAATTCCCCTTTTTCATGTCTTTTATACATAAAATATATATATATTTATACATATAAACATGTGTCCCCTCTTCTTCATGTCTCCTCTACATCAACATGTGTCCCCTCTTCTTCATGTCTCTTCTTCATCAACATGTGTCCTCTCTGTGTAAAGAGACTCTGAAAGTTTCAGGAACAAAGATTCTCTCTCTTTTTGTCCTGATCCATTTCTATAAAAACCTGTCTGAAAATGAGCTGATCAGATTTGGCCACTTTATGATGTCATAACGATGTTTTGTCTTGTGTAACCATTAGCCAATCAGCAACCAAGGTAACCCCCCCCCCCCCCCCCCCCCCACCTTATCACCTGAATCTCCTCCTAGAGCACCATTGTGTTCTTTGTAACCAAATCTCTCTCAGAGGGGCGTGGGGAGGGGCTCCTTATTTTCATCTAAAGTAACAGACAGAGAATAAGCACTTTTGAAACAGGGCTGAAACAGAGGGGATTATGGGTAATGCTGCAATGATCTGTTTGGTGTTTCAGCCAATCAGAGACATGTTCTGTATATATCTGAGACCTATAATATATTGATGAAAAACAGTATGATAGGGGACCTTTAAACTTACCAGTCTACGGTCTGTGCAGGAGATCGGGCGCATCGCGATGGAGATGAACGGCACGCTGGAGGATCAGCTGACTCACCTCCGTCAGTACGAGAAGAACATCGTCAACTACAAGCCAAAGATCGACCAGCTGGAGGGAGACCACCAGCTGATCCAGGAGGCGCTCATCTTCGACAACAAGCACACCAACTACACCATGGAGGTACGAAAGAGACCTAAACCACCAAGTTTGTATGTGTTGTTAACCTCTTGTGTTTGCAGCTAAATTGTATTAAAGAAGCTATTCTATTATGCTTCTTGTGGTGTTCCCTCTCCTGTAGTGTGTTCTATAGGTTTTAGTGCATGTAAATGGTCTGCAGAGGCTAACATCCCTGTGTTCCCTCCAGAAGGAGTTTCTCTCCCACACACCCCCCCATGTACGCTAAGGGGCGGGACATCTCTGAGCGGTTGACTTATTACAACAGAGCATATTCTTACTTCATCTTATAGAGTAATGCTCATGAACACACCGCAATTGGAAGAATATAATAATAACGAGCACCTGAATGCACCACGGGCCTTTTCAGAGGATTTCACTCAGCCAATGTTGCATTCAAATGCTCCGTGACTGTTTAATGTTATGTTTGTGCAAAATGTTCATAGTTTTCCACAAAGAACAGATTTAATGGAGGCAGGACGTTCCTAAAAACCTCAGGAGACTCTTCCGGAGTTAAATCCTGAGTTATTCCTGACACTGCAGTTTTCCGTCACATTATTATTGATGGTTTTCTTTTTTTGGTTCATCAGCCGAGTGCTGGGGAACCATAAACCCCCCCCCCGCCCCCGACCGCCTGCCAAGAAGGATTTTTACAGGCCAATAATTCATGTGAATCTTGTTATTGAAATTGTGCACATCAACTGACTCATGTTCAGAGTGTGTGTGTGTGTGTATTTAAATGCCACATTTTGTTGGTGTATATATGCAAATGATATATGTTTTATCTCCTTCTGTATTCTGCTTCATTCAGTGAGAGGCTGTTTTGTTATGCATTTAGAAGAAAAGCAGAAACAATAATCCTCATAAATACCCTTCATCATTCTGAATCCCTCTTTCAGAAAGAGGATTATTTTTGTCTGGTTAATACGCACTAGCAGGCCGTGCTGCAGGTACATTTGATCCATTACTGAACTTAGTTGGTACTTTAATACTGTACTAATTTGTTCTCTACTTGAGTATTTCATTTTGTGATACTTTAAAGTGGACCTATCATGCTATATTTGAATAATATAGTGTAGGACCATACCTATATAAGGCATATTTATACTTTTTTTTTTTCAAAATACCAAACAGATCATGCATTTTAGCCATGCCTCATTTCGCTCAATTTGCACTTTTTTAGCTCTGGGCTGATTCAGTGAGAACAGCACCACCTACAGGCCTGGCATATGTACTACAGCGTCTCCAGCGCTTTCAAACGGCAATGGCCGTGGCTGTCTCCTCCTGATTGGTGGAGTTGGCCCAATAGCCGTAGCGCCACCGTCCTGACGTCAGGACAGTGTTCAAATCTGGATCAGTTTTGATCAGATCCGTTGCAGCCCCTTTTTTAGAGATTTGGGTATGGAGGAAAATAGAGAGGGTTGTGTTTTCTGACACTTGGTGAGTTCCCTGGAACACCGGGGACACATATTCATGTATAAAAGACGTACAAAAGTGCATTTTGCATGATAGGTCCCCTTTAACTTTCACTCTACTACATTTCACTGGACATTTATTCAATATCTGTAGTCGGTTTGCAGATTTGGATTGATAGCACAAAGTATAATCAACATGTAACATTGCTATGTAAAAGGTTGCTTTCAATGAGGGGTAGAAGATAATAAAAAATAGAAGGAACAATATTAAATGAACATAGCCGGCATTTTATTAAACATTGAACAACACAATAACCCCTCACCCACCCCAATGTCTAGTATCAACTATTTCAACCCACACAAAGTTGAAATAGGAATGAAATGAATAAACAAAACAAACAATTCGAGCTCTGAAAATAAACAAAATAATAATAATTTATCATTTTAAAACCATAAAAAAAGATATGAACAAAAACCAGTTGACGAAAAATGATGGTCCGTTTTTAATTATAATATTTCCTCTCACAAAGTCATGTGGTATCGTTCATTTTTCCTCCAAAGTCATTTTAAGTGTCTCATTAATTTCAGTTTCATCTTAATTCAGAATCAGAATCAGAATACCTTTAGGAGTCCCACAGAGGGGACATGTACGTTGTTACAGCAGAAAAGAGCCAAAGACAGCTTAAAGGGGACCTATCATGCAAAATGCACTTTTGTACGTCTTTTCTACATGAATGTGTCCCCGGTGTTCCAGGGAACTCACCAAGTGTCAGAAAACACAACCCTCTCTATTTTCCTCCATACCCAAATCTCTAAAAAAGGGGCTGCAACGGATCTGATAAAAACTGATCCAGATTTGAACACTGTCCTGACGTCAGGACGGTGGCGCTACGGCTATTGGGCCAACTCCACCAATCAGGAGGAGACAGCCACGGCCATTGCCGTTCGAAAGCGCTGGAGACGCTGTAGTACATATGCCAGGCCTGTAGATGGTGCTGTTCTCACTGAATCAGCCCTTGCTAAAACAGAGCTAAAACATGTCAAATTGAGCGAAATGAGGCATGGCTAAAATGCATGATCTGTTTGGTATTTTGAAAAAGAAAAAGGTATAAATATGCCTTATATAGGTATGGTCCTACACTATATTATTCAAATATAGCATGATAGGTCCACTTTAATGTTACGTAGAAGCATGCATACAAAAGTATTAAAGCTAAAAGAAAGTTATAATACAAAATAGAAGTTACACAATTTACAAAATACACATCCTGTAACAGTTCTGAGGATTTAGCAGCCAGGTATATATTGCACAGTTATTAACAGCATTTATATGTATTGCACATATTGCATATCGTTGGTTGGTATTCCTCACACTTCCTCTCCCTCTGTACAGCACATCCGTGTGGGCTGGGAGCAGCTGCTCACCACCATCGCCCGCACCATCAACGAGATCGAGAACCAGGTCTTAACGAGAGACGCTAAAGGCATCAGCCAGGAGCAGCTGAACGAGTACCGAGCCTCCTTCAACCACTTCGACAGGGTTAGTGCTCTCAGAAGGTCTTTTAAATATACTTCTTCTTTCCTTCCTTCACCACAGGCTGCAGGTGGGGTAAACATCCCGGTGCTGCAAAAGGTTATTCGCCTTTTTCAGCAAGAAAGTGAATTATGTTTTTCCCAAAGTGTCAAACGTCTGCTTTAGAGATGCATATACTCTAGAGCAGCGGTTCCCGACCTTTTTCTACTCAGGGCCCACTTAAAGGTGGGGTAGGTAAGTTTGAGAAACCGGCTCGAGATACACTTTTTGTTATATTCCATTGAATGCTCTTAACATCCCGATAGCAATGAATATTTGCAGATTTTCTCCGGTTGTGTATTTTCAAATTCTAGCGATCTCGAGCCGGTTTCTCAAACTTACCTACCCCACCTTTAAGAATCTAAAACATGTTAGCGGCCCACATTCAACCATAAACAATACGGAGGCTAAATAAAGTTCTCAGAGTACTTTTTATTTGAATTAGAAAAGGAGCTGGCCATCAGTAACAAACAGACATTTTTATTACACGGTTTAGTTGAATACTCGATTCTGATTGGTCAATTCAGAACATGTGACACGTTGTTAATCCAGTAGAACAGACCGCTGTCAAGGACTGTAATGACCGTTGCTAAGGAGGATCGAGAAAGAGAAAGGAAAAGAGGTTAAAATACAAAAAAATCTTAATAATGAAATGTTTCCACACAAATCATAATGTTTTGCAAATTATTTGGCGGCCCACTTGCAATGCCACTAGGGGCCCCGGCCCACAGGTTGGGAACCGCTGCTCTAGAGTCATGAGCTTCTCTGTTATATATTCAGACAGCATCTAGAAAGCCAAGCAGTTTAAGGTGAGAGTGAATCAGTCGTGGTTTGTCGTGTCGTGCTAACGGTTATCCGCTAACCATCAGGAAACATAGAGTGTGCGTTTGTGTGTGAAAAGCACAAGGTATTAAACATGTGACACCACATTACTCTATACAAGCTTTAGGGCTTTTGGAAATGTTAAGAAACCATGCAGCCAGAATGAAATCAAATAGCGACAGCTGAAATATTTTAATGTGAAAAACAGATATTATAACCAACACATCATTTATCATGCAGGATCCTTTGGCAAAACTAACGAGATATCCAGCAGTAAATCAAGTAAAACATCTCCTCCTTTATCAGCTGCATTATTAAAGTAATGAACACTTGGATGCATGGATCATTATGACTCAATAACATTCATATTATTTTTTAATTTGGCCGTAGAATAAATACTTTTGAGGCCGGTTTTGACTTTTAGTTTCAAAAAGTTAAATGTTTTATTAAATAAACAGTCAAAATGACTACCTGGAGAAGCTTCTGCAAGATATTTAGTTGAGTTATTAACTATTTTGACGAGTAGTAGCATGACTTCTTAACTATTTTGACGAGTAGTAGCATGACTTATTTCATTTCATTTCAAACCTTTATTTATTCAGGTTGTATCCCATTGAGATCATTGACCTCTTTTTCAAGGGAGACCTGCTCAAGTAGGTTCCACATGAAACATTAAAAACATAAACAGAACAACAAAAGGACATCATACAGTAGCATTACAGGGATTACAAATTACATACTATCCACATGCACAGGTACCAACAGCTTCCGATTCAGTAGCATCTAACCGAGCTTTAAAAACATTGAGTGGCACCAGATTGCTCAGTTTCCATTTTAATTGCAGACTATTCCAGGACATTATTTGACGAGTTGTAGCATGACTTATTAACTATTTTGACGAGTTATATATAATTTTTTTAGCACATTTCAACACAAGGCTTTACAAAAATGAAAGACATTAAGAGAATTAAGAAACATATTACAAAATGGCATTTAAAGAAGATAATAAAACATGAATAACAAAGGCACATGAATTAAAGTGACAGTGCAGTGGGAGATACACACATCTGAAATGTTTAGCTCTGACTCAATCATTGCTAACTGTTGAGCAGAAATAGTTTTCTATCACCTCACTTTCTTTCTACTTTCTTTGTTAACTTATCTGTTAGTCATTTCAAGTGTTTCATGCTAAACGAACCCCCCTTTGGAAAATGTTAATCTGAAACCCAATATTCCGAAAATTCAAAGGATCCTGGCCGTATTTGTGTAGCATATAAAATGTATTTGCTCCCAGACATTCATGTAGCTTGCTAGTTTTGGACCCCATCTGTAACAAAAAAGTCGCTGGGTTTGAGTCTGTAGTTTCCATGTCAGGTGGCTCTGAGATGTATCTCCATTGAAGGCTGTTTCAGATCCTCCTGTTTACACCGAGGCTCCGTCCGTCAGCTCCAATTATGGACCAGTTTTTGACTCCAACATTACCTCACACATTTTTCCGTCCGTTTGTTAATCAATACCTGAAGACGAGGATCAGAGACAGAGAGCCAAATGTGGATCTGAAGTCTGTTCCACGTTCAATAAGCCTGCCCTCTTATAGGAGGATATGTGGAGCTGCAGAGGCTTTGGAATGAAAAGTGTGTTATTGTTGAGACGGGAGTAAATTGTCTGTCTTAAGTCAAACATTTGCTGATTTAAGAATCTGCAAATTATTATATATAATAGGATTTTATATAATCAGCAGATTATTTTAAATAGAGCTCATAGGATTAGTTGGTTGATTGATAGAAGCTTAATTGCCTTATCATAAAATCCAATTGATCTCATTCATGAAGGAACATTAAGTGGAAATTCACTGTAAATGTAAAAAAATCTTAGTTTTCTTTGATATTAAACTCAATGTAATTGTATTTATATAAATATCCAGTTAAAAATCAAACAAAACAGAATAAATACATTTATATAAATATAAGAATTTAAAGGAACATTTCCGATGAAAGATAAGATTTTATCAAATAAAGTAAAAACAAAAGAATTATTGAGAAAATAATATTTTTTTAATTGCGCCATTTTAAAATGAAATAAATAAAATACAATAAAAAAATATATATATACCAAAATAAGAATTACAAGTAAAAATGTGCTCAAACTAAAACATGAATAAAAAAAAGATCAGCAGTTTAATCAATAATTTTAATAATATGTAATCGTGTTTGTGTAGTTACCGCTCTATGGTATGTACATGTCCAATGTGTGAGGACATGGGGTAAATGAAAGTGATTCTGAACTGTGTTTAATGAGTGATTTTGCATTAATGCTGTTTACACATAAAAGGTATATTTGAGCTTGTTGTGATGATGAGAAGACGCCCCCCCCCCCCCACAAAGAGTTATTGCCTGGCTGCACATTAACCTCTGCTGCCCCCTGCAGGATCCTAATGAAAATGCACTGTGTTCTCTTTCTATCTCCTGCACGATCCCCCCCGCCCCCTCCTCACCTCATTTGACCCCCTGTGCATGATGCACTCCCCCCCACACATCCTCACCCCCCCCCTTCCCCCTCACCTTCCTCCCCACTGTATGTGTCGCTGCATGGCCCCCACGGCGCCGCCTCACCCCCCAGGATCACTCGGGCACTCTGGGTGCGGAGGAGTTCAAGGCCTGCCTGATCAGCCTGGGCTTCGATATCGCCAACGATGCACAGGTACTCAACGAAGGGTTAATGTGTTTTCTTTTGTACCTCTTCCCCACTCTCTTCATTCCACCTTCTACTGCCTCTTCCCCACTCTCTTCATTCCACCTTTCACTGCCTTTATCCCACCTTTCACTGCCTCCTACACTTCCTTTTTCCCACATTCCCTCCTTTGTTCTGGCCTCTCTTCATCATTCCTCCTCTTGGTTTCCTACTGCCTCTTAAACTTTTACTGACTTTCCCTGCCTCTCTTCATCCTTCCTCCTCGATCCTCTTACTTAAACCTCCTTTTTCTCACTATCGATTTTCCTCCTTAATTCTACTCTGGTGATTTCCTTCCACTTTCCTTCCCCCTCCTCTTTCTCCTCCTCCTCCTGGTTTCCTCCCTTTGTCCGACCTTGTAGAAGAGATCAGGATTCATGGATGCTGAAGACTTCAAAACCTGCCTTATCTCCATTGGTTACAACCTGGTAAAGCCATGAGCCCATTCAAGTATGACCGTTTGTTTGTGTGTGTTTAGCCAGGCCACAGGAAAAGTTGTGAGCCTTATTTTATAGATTTTTTAAATAAATATATATCTTGATTTCGACTCATAGAGATATTCCATACATAAAGGAATAGTTTGCATGTTTTAAAGTGAGGTTGTATAAGGTTCATAGTCAGTGTATTTACTATTTCACATTTTTGCATGTAATGTAGGTACATTTATTCCAGTATTGTTTCCGTGCCAGTTTAAGTTTTAATGTTAACGGGATAATATCTGGAGGATTATGGGGATAATATCATATAAACACTCGTTAAATAATCTGGAAACACACATTTATTTGGTACAAATTCAAGCCAACCTGAAATTAATTATAATTCTATGTATTTACGATAAACTATAGACAAGCTGAGTCTTCCCGAGGTGTGTGTGTGTGTGTGTGTGTGTGTGTGTGTTGTGTGTGGTGTGTGTGTGTGTGTGTGTGTGTGTGTGTGTGTGTGTGTGTGTGTGTGTGTGTGTGATGTGATGTGTGATGTGTGATGTGTGATGTGTGATGTGTGTGTTGTAGTGTGTGTGGCATCACTTTGTGTGGTGTGTGTGTGTGTGTGTGGGGTGTCGTGTGTAGTGTGTGTGTGTGTGTGTGTGTGGTGTGTAGTGTGTGTGTGTGTGTGTGTGTTGTGTGTGTGTTGCACCTGAGCCTCACCGTCCCTCCGTGTTGCCTTCAGGGTGAGAACGAGTTTTCCCGCATCATGAGCATCGTGGATCCCAACAGGATGGGCATCGTCACGTTCCAGGGGTTCATCGACTTCATGTCCCGAGAGACGGCGACACGGACACCCGCCGACCAGGTCGTCGCCTCCTTCAAGGTCCTTGGGCCGGTGGACAATGTAAACACCGTGTATGAAGCATTTTTCTTGGTAAAACTACTATGTCCTTATCTCTTCTTAAGTTTTCACTTTTAGAGTTTTATTGTTAAGAAGATGAAAGACAAAAATAAATAGTGTTGGGAAAATACTGAATGTCCTCTTCCAATATCAGAGTAACACATGATAACAAAGGTATCTCAACTGTAGCTGTGTACATGACAGGATGTTTGATTACCTAGAAGAGCATCAGGACTGTTTGAGGCATATGATAGCTATGTGATTAACATGATGATTCAGCCTCTATGGAGATAGACATATGACAAGCATGATCATTTCTGACGTGGAGCTAATCTGAAGTAAACATTGAATACTGCTTTCTATTCCTCCATCTTGTGACTGTGGAACTCCCTCTCTTGTATATCAGCATGTGAAGGACACTGTTCAGGAACTAGTTGATGCTCTGTATGTGATATATAGATAGAATCGGAGGGATGAACCCCTCTGTAATGGTCACACATGCAGAGCACACAGCACACAGTGAAATGTGTTCTCTGCTTTTAACCCATCCTAGTACCAGGAGTCTAGTACTAGGAGCAGTGGGCAGCTATTGTACAGCGCCCGGGGAGCAATGGGAGTGGGGGGGGGGGAAGGGGGTTGTCCGGTGCCTTGCTCAAGGGCACCACGGCAGGGCCCAGGAGGTGAACTGGGACCTCTCCAAGTAGCAGTCCACACTCCATATTTAGGTCTGGTCGGGGACTTGAACCGGCAACCCTACGGCTCACAGTCCAAGCCCCTACTGACTGAGCCACTGCCGGAATGACTACTTCCATTCTTGAGAGGATCAGAAATACATGGATCCTGATTATTGAAGCTCAAGCCGGTGACCAGTGATATTTTTCAAACAAATAGGCTTACATATTAAAATATCCCCACTTCATCACCATCTGGTACTTCTGAATATAGACTGTAGCTAAAAGCTATTTTTCTATGATAAAAATTTCCTTTATTTTTCCTCCTCCACAGAACTACATTTTACCGGACGAGCTGCGCCGCGAGCTTCCTCCGGACCAGGCGGATTACTGCATCGCCCGCATGGCTCCGTACTCCGGGCCGGACGGGGTCCCCGGGGCCCTCGACTACATGTCCTTCTCCACGGCTCTGTACGGAGAGAGCGACCTCTGAACTCTGACTTCCTGCTTCATCACCGCCACGTCCTCCTCCTCCTCCTCCAGCACCAACCTCCTGTCCTCCTGCCATCATTTTTGTATCTAGACAAAAGGCACCAGACTCCATTGATAGGTCATTTTACCTGACCAGTGTATGGGAGTTGCTGGTCCACTGCTGCATGGATCAGTTAGTTAGTTTGTGTTGTTGTGTGACTTCTGAGTTTTAAAAGGTTAGTTCAGAGTCCCCGAAATCCCACAATAACACAGACTAACTGACTGAAGTAGCAACTCCTGAGTCTGTGAGGTAATATTTCAGTTGTTCGAATGGAGTCTGGTGGGTTTGGAGAGAGTGATATAACTTCATTTCCTGTCAGATAGGCCGTCTGACAGCGAGGTGAAGGTGTACGCTATATTAAGAATATTTTCATTGCTTTACCTTGCTGTCAGACGGTCCTTTCTGTAGTGTATCGCTCTTTCCAAATACGGCATGACCGCTTAACTCTGACCCGACTTCCTGCTTCATCCCCGCCACCAAACTCCTCTCCTCCTGCGATCCGTTTTGTACGTCTCTGGCCTTATCTTTAACCTCCTCCTCCTCCTCCTCCTCCTCCTCTTTCCCTCCCCCCTCCTCTTCCTCACTGTCTCCGTTGTATTTGCTTCCCACGCAATGCAGCAGCTCTCCAGGTTTACAAAGAGGGAGAGCGGTAAAAAAAAAAAGTTTGTTATTTTTCTGTTTTTATTTTTCTCGTTGTCGTTGTTTTTCTTCATAAAATGAATAAAGTTAACATATTTTATTATACTGAACAAACAAAAAAAAGAAAGGTATTTTTCTTCACCCGATTGAAAATAAGAGACAAAAATTGTAATAAAAGAAAAATTGCTAAACTTTGTCTCCTTTTTCTCTTTTTGTTACATTTGATTTTCATGGATTTACTGATGGTTTGTGCTTTTAGCTGACTTTTGGGAAAGTACATATGGAATGCCGTTTAAGCCAAAATTAAATAAATACATATATATATAAATATGCCTATGAAATAAATAAATAAAAGCAATAAATATATATAAATGTACATTTAAATACACATTTATTTATTTCATGGGACTTTTATTTCATAATGCCACATTTATTTATTTCATGGGACTTTTATTTCATAATGCCACATTTATTTATTTCAAGAGAATTTTATTTCATAATGCCACATTTATTTATTTCAGGGGACTTGTATTTCATAATGCCACATTACATTTGAATTTCTTATATTCAAATGAACGGGGCGTGGTTAGCTCACAGATCCAGACCAAAGCAACAGCACCACAAGCACTCAAGTCAGTATTTGCAATGTAATTACATACACGCTATATCGCCCCTCTTGACAGTGAAACGCCACGCGTGAGGTTTAGATTAATTCCCTGTCTCTCTCAATCCAAATTGAACTGTATGAAATAAAAAGGCACATTTGTCTTGTAGTAAATAAAAAGGGCGACCTGGAGCCAATCCTGCAATTTCCCCACAGGTGGAAGAGTTGACATGCTGAAAACCCAACCCCTGCAGGGGGGTCTGGGGGGATTCCCCCCCAGGAGATTTTTTGAAATACTAACATAAAATACACATTCTGGTACTCTCTTGAGAAGAAAAATAAATAAATCTATTACTACACATTTAAAAAAATGAATGCCATATTAGTTTTTTGTTACTTTGTTCTGAAAGCTGAACCTGCTGCTCCTCACAGAGAGAAGAGGAGAGGCTGTGTGAATGACTTTACATTGTGGATAAGGGTGGATAGCCCCCATTGTTCTGTGTGTCAAAATGAAAGACAGCCCACACACCTATCAATCATCAAACCGTGGGGTCTTATCGATGTATTGTTAGAAATTAAAATCAATGTTTTATGGCATAATTTAGTCTAAAACATACCGTCAGTTTAAAAGCAGTCTTATGAAGAACTCATTGATTTCAGTATTGTGTTCACACCTTAAAAGGTGTGAAAGGAGGGATTGTTAGAAATTAAAATCAATGTTTTATGGCATAATTTAGTTTAAACATTCCGTCAGTTTAAAAGCAGTTTTATTCTGAAAATCCTTCATTTCCGGTTAGCATTAGCATGTGGCTAACGTTTTGAAACCGTGAATTGAAGGTGAAATGACATGTGATGTTGTACACTAAACACACTGGAATTAGCACTCAATTATTGACGCTGAATAACGTTTATCAGGGAATGTTTAAATAACCACAGACACCAGAAGGATGTAATTTAGCAACAAAAAAGGCAGGAATTGCATTGGACCCGCCCCCCCGATGACGCTGGCCAATAGGAGAAGACCTCAGATGACAACAGGAAGACCAAGCCAAGAATCAGGCAGTTTTTCTCCTCCTGACCTGGGCTGACCAACACATGGGGAGAGTGTCTCCGCTTGCAATTTCATTTGTAAACCACCGCATCTTTTGTGTAATTAAATGCTGTTAACTTTTATAAGCTTGCCTTGACTCTTTTCAGTAGTGATGACAAAATGAAGCTTTGAATGAAGCATCGAACCACTTGTGTCGGAAATAGGTTCATTTCTCGAAGCTTCAGTTACAGCGACCTCTCCTGGCGAAGTGCAAGGCTGCAGTGGGTTTAACGTATCTTTGCCTTGACAAATATTCGATGCACACACACACTAAGACTGAATATCATGTTCTATTTGCAATTAAAGATTGATAATTGTGTGTATTGGGTTATTGAGAAGAGACTAGAGAGTGCTGGAAAAAAATGTGGGCGGAGAGGGCCTTTTATCAGTTATCGAAGTATTAAAGTTGAAAAGCAATGATTAAAAGTTCATCCTTTCCGGGCTTTGAACCAGCTGCGCGGAGGAAATCACCGTATTCGGGCCACCGGCTCTATCCACTGGGCTATCTATTCCTTAAACTAAAGAGCTGTTTCTATATTACTCATTGTCTTTTTGTTCACAACTTCTCCACATTTCAAAGTGTTTCCCGACCCAGAACGACCTATCTTTCTTCCTGGCTTGCTCTATAATGATCCAATTCAAATGCAATACCAACAACAACTCAACAGCAACAACGTCTACGACAACAACCCACACATTGCACATTGTTTAGAGCGGTTATAAAGTGTTGAAGCGCTCAAATTCGAAACTGTTTCAACCTGTCACCTGTCAGAATAGAGACGAGGCAGTGCATTGAATCGCGTGATTGGACCGCGAGTGTCAAGTGATTCATTCAGGAAATGAAGCAGTTGCTGGTTCGGACGTCACATGTCACGTGATTTGAAGCAGTTGCTGCTACTGACGTCATATGTCACGTGATTTGAAGCAAGCTTCGAATCACTGCTTTTATGGAATAGGAAGTCCAGGGTTGAAGCTCCGTTCGAAGCTTCAGTGTCAAACTGCCATCACTACTTTTCAGTCTCTCCTGCTCTCGGGGTTCAAGAATATCTAACAGTATATAGAGATGTACTACAGCAAAAGTATTCTCCGTCGGGACTTCCTGCAACAACACCACGCCGTTATTGTGATTCTGATTGTCCAGAAGACATTATCAAAGATGTTTTATTGAGAAGATGATCACTACGTGACAAAAGTTTTCAAAACCGTTTCTAGTCTTCGGTATTTCCAGACAAGTGGCAACTGAAATCAATCTTACTAACTGCTGTCTGTGCAATTTACTCCGCGCGAGTTGGCGGACTTTATTTTGCTTATTTTAACATCATTTTTCATGGTGGGGCTAAGCCATTTCTTGGTATGGCAGCCTGTAGCCTACCCCAGCCATACCATAGCGCCGCCACTGGCTGTACGTGTGTGTGGTACAGTGTGTAGGTGTGTGTGTGTTGTACAGTGCGTAGATGCGGCGGACAGTCGGGGGTCTCAGTTAGTTTGGTGTCCTGTGCTTACTTTTAATACTTGTAAATACAACTTTTGGCCCGTAATTTCAATTCCCCATTTCAGCGACCAGAGAGAGGGGGGGGGGGGATATATTCAGTCTCTGATTGTGTTACGTTATTATGAGAGTGCTCTCATACTTGTTTGATTCTGAAATTGTATATATTTATATAAATATATGTGTTGCATTATACCGCACTGTGAATGAACACATCTGTCCATCAGACAGAGGGCTGCTGTGCCTCCTGTCATCATTAATGGGCGTCTCTTTAAAATTTAAAAGGAGAGGAGTTCTCATTTCTCTAACCGCCTGCTGCTTCCTCTCCTCTCTTCGGTCGGGGGGTTCCCCTCCTCAGTCCTCCGCTCGCATGTCCTGTGGGTGGGACTCAGGTCTCAAGTCTCGAGGATGAATCGAGAAGCCTATAGTCTATGCTGTTAACATTTCATGATCCAGCCTCGACAGGAAGAAGACGGAATTCTCCACTAGCATTAGGAACCTGTAAAATCTATATGTTTTGCTTTTGTTTGTAAAACGTAATGTCAATATGAGATAGATAGTCATGCGTTACGATGCTCGCAGTGTTTGTTTTCCTCGGTGAGTATTTTACAGGGTTCATGACGAACTTTGGCAAAGAACTGTGTTAGTTTGTTAAAGTAAGAAAGATAATGACAGATTCGAGCTAGACGGATCAATAACCTAAACAAAACGTTAAAAATACTAACAACGTTACTGTAATATTCTGTTCTATGGACATATAAGTGTCTACATAAACAGATGAAGCGGACTACTTGTGACATTCCGAGTGTCCATCTTTATTCAACTGGCGCGTAACATGCACACATGCCTTACGTCATTAACGTGATCTCCGTAATCAAAGATCTTGTATTCACCAAGATGTTACATCCCCCTTCTTTAGAAAAGAATAGTATAGCTGCCATAACAAATTATAACCATATGCATTTAAAGCATTTAAAATGAATGTGCGTCTTAAGGCACTATATCTACTAATTGTGATTACTCTATCACTGAGGGAATATTATAAGGCTGGTACATCAACATTTAGTAAACACTTCTGCAGTTAAACTTATCTTTTTTGAACAGTTGCCCAGAAATCATTCTAATAGAGCATGTCGTACTGCTTCTGAAACAAAACTGTTTTTAAATTTCTAAACAAACAAAAATCACAGTGCATTGTCAGTGTTGCATTATAAACAGATTCACTCAAAGTGCACTGTCAGTATTGCATTTCCCTTTCCTTTCTTTTTTCATAGGTCTAACACCTCTCTTGGCTTCACTATGCGGCCTGATCTTGTGATTTTATTGTAAACAATGTGTGATTGCTCTCTGGGGCCTGTTTGTTTCTCAGTGTCCTGCTGCAAAGTCTCAGTGTTCTCAGGCTCCAACTGCTCGTCTGATGGAGTCTCCTGATCTGTGTCACTCTCACACGTTTGTAGAAGGTGACGCCTGTTGCGCCGAAACTTGTGACCTCCGTCCGTGCAGATGTTGTAGGATCTCTGGGTACCTGCTGGCTCGACTACTGTTGCAGGTTTCCATGTCCCTGTTGGAAGCTGGAAGCGGATCGTGGCTCCCACTGGTAGTGCAGGCAGTGATCTGGCATTCCTGTCATAATATTGTTTTTGTCGTGTTTGACACTGTTTTCTCCTGCTGTGAACGGTGCTGTGACAGGCAAGCTCTGGTTGTAGATGCTTTTCAGTGGTGGGAAGGATGGAACGCAGACGCTTGCTCATGAGTAGCTGCGCTGGCGATTTCAAACCATCCACTGGTGTGTTTCTATACTCCAACAAGCTGAGGTACAGGTCAGTTCTCTGAGCGTGTGCTTTGTCCATGAGAGCTTTGGCAGTCTGAACTGTTTTTTCTGCTAGCCCGTTGCTCTGTGGATACAGAGGACTGCTTGTGACATGCTTGAAGTCCCATGCATGAGCAAAAGTTTTAAACTCTTGTGAACTGTAGCAAGGTCCATTATCGCTGACTAGTGTCTGCGGTATTCCAAATCGAGCGAACATGGCCTTCAGCTTTTGGATGACTACTGAGGAGGTGAGGCTGGTGATTTTTTCTACCTCAAAGAACCTACTATAATAGTCAACTACAACTACATAGTCAGTACTGTTCCATGTGAACAGATCAGTGGCTATTACTTGCCAAGGTTGTTCTGGGATTGGGTGTGAGATCATAGGCTCTTTTGGGAGTGAGCTGCGTCGCTCAAGGCAGGTACTGCAGGTCCCTACTAATGTCTCTATCTGCTTACCCATCCTTGGCCAGAACAGCACATCTCTTGCACGTTGTTTGCACTTTTCCATCCCTAAGTGTCCAGTGTGAATGCGTGAAAGCATTTCAGCCCTGAGTGAGTGCGGCACGATGATTTTCTCTCCTTTCAGTAGGATGCCATCTGTCTCTGATATCTCATCCCTATGATTCCAATACTCTGAGACTGCAGGTGGACATTTTTTGTTTTTCTCGGGCCACCCTGCTTGGATCACCTGTCTCAGCACTGAGAGCTGCTCATCTTTGGCTGTAGCGGCTCTGATCTCTGCCATTTTGCGGTCGCTTACCGGAGCGTTGCTGATCACAGTGTGTATTTGGTAGTCCATGCCCTCACTCATGGAGCGGTCGTAACACTCAAGTGGCTTTCTGGACAGAGTGTCTGCGACGGGGATTTGTTTTCCTGGTTTGTGCTCGATAGTGATGTCATATCTCTGTAGCTGCAGTATCATGCGTTGCAGACGCGGTGGTGCAGCTGCTAAGGGCTTACGCATGATTGACTCAAGTGGCTTATGATCTGACTCGACGATCACCTGTCGTCCATACAGGTATTGATGAAACCGCCTACATCCAAAGAGCACTGCGTATAGCTCCTTTTCGATTTGAGCATAGTTCTCTTCAGTTTCAGTCAGTGTCTTTGATGCGTATGCGACTGGTTTCTCTTCCTGGAGCAGGACAGCTCCTAAGCCGTGTTTGGAAGCATCGACTTGTAACTTCACATCCTTTGTGTGATCGAAGTAGGTGAGTACTGGGCCAGGCTCCTGTGTTAGGATGTCTTTTACTCGTTGGAAGGCTGCATCATGATTTGAGTCCCACACAAACTCACTGTTTTCCTTTATCAGTTGCCGGAGTGGAGCTGTTGCCTCTGACATTCTCGGGGCGAACCTGGAAAGGTAAGTGACCATGCCCAGTATGGTCTCCAACTCTGCCTTGCTTTGTGGGTTAGGCATTTCTTTGATGGCCTTAATCTTGTTCGGGTCAGGGCGGATGCCTTCTCGTGTCAGCTTGTGCCCAAAATAGCTTACCTCAGGCACACAGATTTTGCACTTGTCCTGATTCAGCTTTATGCCTTTTTCTCTGGTTCTCTCCAGCATGGCACGCAGGCTAGCGTCGTGCTCCTCTTTGGTGCGGCCGTAGACTATGATGTCATCTACGATGGCGGCAACGCCTGGAAGCCCCTCATAGGCCTCATCCACTCTCCTCTGGAACTCATCCTGTGCAGATATGATTCCAAAAGGCAGTCTCTTGAAACGGTACCTGCCGTAGATCGTGTTGAACGTGGTTAGCATAGATGAGTCGTGTGTGAGTTTTATATTCCAGTATCCAGATCTGGCGTCTAGTACACTGAAATACTGTGCTCCAGCCAGTTTTGGTGTGACGTCATCTAGAGTAGGGAGTGGATAGTGGGGTCTGGATGGCTTTGTTCAGGGCGCGGGGGTCTAGGCATATTCTCAGCCTATTTGTTTTCGGCTTTTCCAACACTACTAGTGCATTAACCCATTCAGTTGGCTCTGTGACTTTTTGGATAACGTCCAGTTTTTCCATGTCGTCCAACTCATTCTTGAGCCGGTCACGCAGAGCATATGGGATGCGACGAGGTGGACATACCACTGGTGGTACAGAGGGTTTTAGTTGGAAACTGCATTCTCCAGGAAACAGTCCGATGCCTTCAAACACATCAGCAAACTCTTCCATCATGGTTGTGTGTGTTATCGGCTTTGCATCAACTACATGTATCATTTTGACTAGGTTTAAATCTAGACATGCTCTTAAGCCTAACAGAGGTGGAGCATTTGTATGGACTATGTCAAAACCTACCATGGCTGTTTTCTCACCGTGTTTACATGTCAGTCTACATGTTCCTTCTGCTTTTATCCTGTGCCCACCATAATCTGAGAGTTTGCTTGATGGGGGGCCTAGTATTACACTTCCATATATCTCGCGGAATGTGTCTGCTGGTATAATACTAGTCTGAGCACCAGTGTCCATTTTAAACTTCAGTTTGTGCCTCGCTTTTCCTATTTCTACTTCTGCATATGCCTGTTCTCTATCTGTGTTTTCATGCTCTTTTATGATAGCATCAATATAGAGTTCTGGTTCTTCTAGTGACTGTTCGGCACTGTTTGAGATGGTATGCAATTTTCTGGGATTATATCTCGTCTGTGGCTGCTGTGTTTGTGACCTACACACTTTAGCAAAGTGGTTGGGCTTATTGCATTTGCTGCATTGGCGACCCTTTGCTGGACATTCCTCAGTGCGACTGTGCTCCCTCCCGCATGCTCCACATTCCTTGCTCCTCACGGTGCTGTTACGATCATTCCATGTCGTCTTGTGCCCACGGGATGCTTGGTCTGCTCTAAAAGGTTTTCTGCTAACTGCGTGAGCAGAGCGACTGTCGTGGCTAGCAGCGGGGGTTAGCATTGTCTTTAGCTGCTGCTGTGATAGCTCATGTGAACGTGCAATGTCAATGGCTTTCTCTAGCGTCAAGTCTGGACCGTGACATAGCAGTTTTTCGCGCACTCTTTGTGAGTTTGTAGCAAAGACAATCCTGTCTCTAATCATTTCCTCACTGTTTGGGTAGTTGCAGTCTTTACTTAGCAATTTTAGCTCCGTTACAAACTGGTCGAAACTCTCACTGTCTCCTTGGATTTTTTCATGAAATTTATAGCGTGCAAATATGGGATTTGCTTTCGGAGTTACATAAGCTTCATAACCGTCATAGTACGTTTTTAGTACCTTACTCTGGTCTTCTGTGAGAGTCCATGTGTTAAAGACGTCTCTGCCTTTTTCCCCAATCCATAGGAGTAGATAGCTACATTTTTCCTCCTCGTCTTTAGCATGTAGCGGGCCTGAAAACATTAGCTGCACATGCTGCCGACATTTTCTCCATGCGTCCGGCAGATTAGACGAGTCCCAGTCCATTCGTGGTGTTGGAACGCCTGTGTTCTCCATCTTCCGTCGTCAGGTCGATGATAACTGAACTAACTCTGACACCATGTAATATTCTGTTCTATGGACATATAAGTGTCTACATAAACATATGAAGCGGACTACTTGTGACATTCCGAGTGTCCATCTTTATTCAACTGGCGCGTAACATGCACACATGCCTTACGTCATTAACGTGATCTCCGTAATCAAAGATCTTGTATTCACCAAGATGTTACAGTTACGTGTTAAATCAGACTTTAGTTCCACCTGGAGTAAATTCACAAATTTAATTTACAGCGCTGAGCGAACAATCCTCCGTGTTTGAACCTCTTAAATCGCTGCATAGCCGATTTATTTGGACTGGATTATCCCAGAGAGGCTAA